GTTGAAAACCTCGGTCTGTGGATCGTGACCGAGCTTCTCAACAGCTACCCTCCAGCCGCACTTGAAGAAGAGTTCCTTAGTGGGCGGACGAACTTCCTCACGTTTTATGGGCTTACCGCACCACACCTCGACGATCAACAGGAGAGACACCATTCTCCTTAGCCTACGGAATGGAAGCAGTAATCCCACTGGAAGTTGGCCTCCCCACAATTCGAAGTGAAAATTTTGATCTAGACTTGAATGGAGAAGCCATAACATTGGAACTTGACCTTGCGGAGGAAATAAGAGAAAGAGCACTGGTTCACATTGCCTCATACCAACAAGAGTTATCCAGAAAATACAACAAAACGGTGCATCCAAGACAATTCAAGATTGGAGATTAGGTACTGTGCAAAGTAATGGGAAACACCTTGATACCGGGAGATGGCAAGTTAGGGCCAAACTGGGAAGGTCTTTATAAAGTGGTTAGGTTAGCAGGCAAAGGGGCATACCACCTAGAAGACAAGGAAGACAAAGCAATCCCTAGGCCATGGAACACGTCCAATCTCAAGTTATTTTATTTTTAACTTTCTACTTTTCAAATACATGTAGTTTTTTCTTTCCTCAATAAAACAAGCGATTCTTTTCAGCATGAGTTGTTCTCTGTAAAAGTTAGCTTTAGTAAAGTTTAGGTACATTGAAAACATTTTATTCTAAGTTAAAAAACTAACTTAGAGATTGGCTGGAATAAACCAACACCCCTCTTAAGCTCAGGATAAGGATCCAGGCTGCAGGACGTTTGGTCGGAATAACCAAACATTATTCTAAGTTGGCTGGAAAAAACTAACTTGGAGGTTGGCTGGAATAAACCAACACCCCTCATAAGCCTAGGATAAGGATCCAGGCTGCAGGACGTTTGGTCGGAATAACCAAACATTATTTTAAATTGGCTGGAAAAAACTAACTTAGAGGTTGGCTGGAATAAACCAACACCCCTCCTAAGCCCAAGATAAGGATCCAGGCTGCAGGACGTTTGGTCGGAATAACCAACTCTTTATACTCTTCAGCCGAAGTAAGGGTATGGCTGAAGAGTGGTTGGCTGGATTAAACCAACTCTTTGTACTCTTCAGCCGAAGTAAGGGTATGGCTGAAGAGTGGTTGGCTGGATTAAACAAACTATGTGTACTCCTCAGCCGAAATAATTATGTCGGCTAAAGAGTGGTTGGCTGGTAAGCATGGTTAGTTTGACCAGCAAAAACCAAGATAAAAGTTGGAAATGAAAAGATTATGGAAAAATCATTACAAGTACAAACATACACATCAACCGAAGTAAGAGTTCAAGAACATTTTTATTTATCAGAAAGCAAATACAAATGAGGGGCATTAGCCCGGTTACAAAAGCAAAAGTAAAAAAAGAAAAAGAAAAAGGACAATCAGTTGAAAAGATCATCAATTTCGGCATTGAACGCAGCATCGGCATCAACATGAAGACCGGTTTCAGGCGGGAGCTCGCTCTCGGTCACAAGGGTGGTTTCGGTCGGAACCATGATTTCACCTGGTAGTTCAATAGTCAGGTCTTCCACCGTGGGCTCCAGCCGAACTGACCGGTCCGCATTGACAACTGGAGTATCCTTAGAGGCAGAATCTTCGTCAGAGTCTGAGCCTTCAAGAAATTGCTGCTGAATGGCATCAGCATACTCCACTAGGGAGTTCGGTATGAAGTAGGTTGGAGGGTTGAAAACCTCGGTCTGTGGATCGTGACCGAGCTTCTCAACAGTTGCCCTCCAGCCGCACTTAAAGAAAAGTTCCTTGGCGGCTTCACACTGCTGGGTATAAGCATCCTCTGCCTTCTTGAAGCCTTGCTTTTCGGCTCCTTTTGCGCTCTCCTTCAGCTGGGTTATCTCGGTATCTTTCTTTTTTTCAAGCTTCACCAGCTCACGCAGATACTTATCCTTTAGAGCAATGGCAGCCTTCTGCTTTTCTGCTTCGGCCGAACTAACCAGTCCGGCCAGTCGGCCGTTCTCAGCTCGTAGCTCGGCCATTTGCTTTCTGGCCTCCTCTAGCTCGGCCGTCTTCGCTTCGGCCTTTGCCACGGCTTGCCTTGTTGTTTTCCTGAGCTCTAACACTTTCCTGTGAGTGATGTTGTTTTTCTGAATGGCCTAACAAAACAAAGACTTCCCTTGAGCTGAAGTGAAAGTTGGAAAAATTAGATAGAAAAACGGACCGAGCTACTTACCAAGATCGTGGATTTTGTTAAAGACCGGATGGCCTTCAGTTCGGTGTTTAGTTACTTTTGGTGGTGCTCCATATCTTTGGGGAGGCACACACTCTTGGCCAGGTTGAAGGCCAACTGGTGGTCCTTATCAGCAACAACCGAGTCAGAGTCTTGGATATCTTGGTTGTTGAAGGTAAGTTTTGGTGCCCAGCTACTGGTAGTTCGGTCAGAAGGCTCCGGTTGGGGGCTCGGTGGTGGGCTCGGTGGAAGAACAGTTTCGTCTTCATCAACCAAGTGTTGTTCAGTTTCGGTAGTTCGGGCGCGCTTGGTTCGGTGGGATGAGGACGGTTGTTGCGTAGGAAGCGCCACCACCGCTTCTTGGGTTTGACTTGATGGTGGTACTTCGGCCCTGTTGGTCTCGGTCAAGAGGGCCCTGACTCTGTTTCTTTTAGCCATTTCTTCTTCGGCAGTTAGTGGAATTAGTCTGATTTGTGGTAAGGTTGGGTCCGGCTCTGGTGCGTCTTCAAGAAGAAAATCGGTCACTTTGGCTTTTCGACGACCACTATATTTGTAGGTCGGCTCGAATTTGAGCAGCTTGGCCCAACTACGTTCTGGATACCGTAGTGCGGCGCGTAAAGTTGCTAGATTTGGGTAGCTATATAAAGAATGGAGGTGGGCAAAATCTGCGAAAGAAGACAACTGTTAGTTCGGCTGAAAGATTGAAAAACCGAAATATAATAAAGCACGCATGAAAACCGAAGTAAATATACCGGGTTCTCCTTTTTTTCAGTTTATACGTCGGCCAGGAATCTGGGCTTGATGATCCTCAAAATTCCGAAAAAATCGTCATCGTTTAAGTCTTTATCCGGTGTATATTTTATTATCTTCTCTCGGCGACGACGTATTCTTAAATAGTAGACCCACCTATCTTCTTTTGAACCAATGGAGTATTGGTGGAAGATTTCGGCCAGACCGAGGTTGAAACCGGCTTGGCGGTTTAGTTCGGCTATTCCCATTATGATACGGTAGGAGTTGGTGGATAGTTGGGTTGGGCATAGTCTGGTTTGCCTAAGAAACTCACAAATTAAGGGTTGGACTGGAAATCGTAGTCCGGTTTCTATTATGGACAAAAGGGTGAAAGGGACAAAGCCTTCATTTCCCCAGGGTATGACATCTTTTTCGGCTAAAATTAAGTGGACGTCATCGGGTATATTGTAATCTTTTCGAAATTCGGCAAGACCGCCCGGAGTATTTATAAATATCTATACTTTCCCATTTATTGTATAAATTGTGTATAAATTAGATCGGTACAAAAATTGTGCTCAGTAGCTCGGTTACGCACGTAGAGGAGTGCCTGGGCGACCTAAGTCTACAAAGTGAAGAACAAAGGTGTTAAGCACAGTTCATTGGGTTGTGCTACAAATTGAAAACAAGATAAAAAAGTCCTACTTCAGCTTTGTGGATACTACAGGTTCTATCTCGGCTTCTGCAAGGTGATAGGTAGCTCGGTTTGAGCAGTGCTTTATTAGCTCGGCCTTGGCAAGCTTCTCGATATATCGGTTATGGAAACAATTTTGTTAGACCGGTTGATCGTCTAGGGGCAGCTTTCTGAGTTCGGTCTAAAAAATTAAGAAAGCTGGTATAGCCCCAAAGGCCTAAGACCGATTGGAAATCAGGTATCTCAGTATGCTAAGCGCAAACTTAGTTCGGTTTGTTACCTCGACTAAGGTTTTTTAAGGAGTGGTTTGACTTATTCAAAGCTACTGGTGTAAACATAAAGAGTTAAGTCCGGTTGTAAGCTGAACTAGACTTTTACCTAGCTTAAACAGTGTCCTAGTACGGTTGCATCATGATTTTGGATCAAAAAACCAGTTTTCTACAGGATATTTCATATACTCATGTGTTCTATGGTTAAGTTTTTTCCATAAAAGTACAGAGCAAAGCTAAACAGAAAAAATGTTTGCAAAAAACACACAAAACAAAATATGGATTAAACAAATACGAAAACAAACAGAGCAAGAAAGATGGATTTGCTTACCATATTGAAGTAGAAGAACTGGAGATGAAAGCAACAGCGGTAAAAAAAGAACACGAAGCAAGTTTCACAGTTGCAAAAGTTGGAGAGCAATGGAGCTTGAAAGAGAGAATGAGGGAAATAAGAAATGCAGTAGTGAATCCAAAGATGAGGAGATCGTTTTGTGAAAAGGACGAAAGTGAAAAGGCGGGACTATTCAAATTTCACGAAGTACGAAGACGGCGTGTGTAGACACCCCATTTTTGACCGACCTTAAGACTCAGACGTCACCGATTAAGCGCTTGGTGATGTTGCATAATGTGCTTGTTCAGAAGTTTCAGAGTCACGGCCGTGAGCCCTGCCTCCGGACTTCCGAACCCTCTTCTGTGCCTTGTCTCGGTTTGCGAACCAGACTCGGTTTTCTCTGTTTCTTTTCCTGAGGGGAGGGAGAGGTCCCGTAGACCATCTCTCAGTGGCCGTAGGCTACATTTGGTGGCCGTAGACCATTTTTCCCATTTCGGAGTCCGGTTTCCTAGGAGAGAAAGGTTGACAGCTGCAAATGAGGGAAAAAGGTTGCCGCTGACGAGCTCCGGGGTGAGATCCGATAGCGCTTGTGTTGTGCGAATGCGCCATGGCATTTCTCACACTGTTGTTGCGGAATCGGACTAGGAGGGGAGAGATTTTTGTACTATTGGCTTCAGGGGCTGGAATCAAACTCCAAAGTCGCTAAGGGTAAGAGAGGCGAGCTGTCAGAGAGAGAAATGAGGGAAAAAGTGTATCAGGGAGTCGCAGTGGTCACCGTCGATGTGCTGCGAAACAGTCGCTTGGGCCGTTGGTTGTGGAGTTTTGATTCTGGGTTGCTGCTAGGTTTGGTTTGTTACCGATCCCTGTGGGGATTGAGTCGTGATTGAAGAATCGATGATGCGTGAGCCATCATTAGAGAGGGGCCAGGGTTTCAATCTTGTGGATTCAATGAAGTTAGGTTTCTAAGGGCTATGGCCATGAGTGAAGCTAGAGAGGGATAAGTGAGCCAGGAAGAGAAACCGAAGTTGGGACTTGCGTAAACTCTTAAAGCTCTAGCAATTGGGGTTTCCATAAGTTGTAAAGGTATGGGTTTCTTCTCAGTTGATGTGACTTATGTTTATATATATATATATATAAGGTATGGTTTTGTGAAAAACAAACGGCTGTTGGAGTCTTAAAAAAATGGTGAGCCAAGTATTAGTAACTTTTTTATTTTTTTTTATTTTTAATAAGGCAAATCAATAATAGAGGGCTGTGTTGCGGAGGATTGGAGAGGTCTATAATAAAATGTTATTTGGGTAAAGAGTCAAAGGGTTGGAGAGCTTGAATATTAATAATGCATGTTGGACAGTTATAAGGTTAGAAAATAATAATAAACCATTAGAATAAAATGTTAGAGAGCTAAGAATCTTGGAGATCCATTATGGGCAACTTTTATGATGGAATTGAGAGTTATGAAAGGAGAGCTCTAATCTGGAGAGTTGTAAAAATGGAGAGATGACCCAAAGAAAATCTTGCGAGTTATATAAAAAGCGTTGAAGCGAGGGAACCAAAAGATTGTGTGAATTATGAGGCTATTTTTTTTTTTATTGGTAGCTGATAAAATAGTGTGAGGAGTGAGGGGAAATGACGAGAGAATGGTTGCTTCATGTGAGGAGAGGAGACCTATCTCAAAATAGGATCAAGTGTTGCGAAGGAAAGGTGGCTTCATGCGAGGGAAGGAGATCAATCTCAAAATAGGATCAAGTGTTGCGAAGGAAAGGTGGCTTCATGCGAGGGAAGGAGATCAATCTCAAAATAGGATCAAGTGTTGCGAAGGAAAGGTGGCTTCATGCGAGGGAAGGAGATCAATCTCAAAATAGGATCAAGTGTTGCGAAGGAAAGGTGGCTTCATGCGAGGGAAGGAGATCAATCTCAAAATAGGATCAAGTGTTGCGAAGGAAAGGTGGCTTCATGCGAGGGAAGGAGATCAATCTCAAAATAGGATCAAGTGTTGCGAAGGAAAGGTGGCTTCATGCGAGGGAAGGAGATCAATCTCAAAATAGGATCAAGTATGCGAGGGGAAAGTGCAAGGAAAGGAGACCTATCCTAAAATAGGATCAAGTGTTGCGAAGGAAAGGTGGCTTCATGCGAGGGAAGGAGATCAATCTCAAAATAGGATCAAGTATGCGAGGGGAAAGTGCAAGGAAAGGAGACCTATCCTAAAATAGGATCAAGTGTTGCGAAGGAAAGGTGGCTTCATGCGAGGGAAGGAGATCAATCTCAAAATAGGATCAAGTATGCGAGGGGAAAGTGCAAGGAAAGGAGACCTATCCTAAAATAGGATCAAGTGTTGCGAAGGAAAGGTGGCTTCATGCGAGGGAAGGAGATCAATCTCAAAATAGGATCAAGTATGCGAGGGGAAAGTGCAAGGAAAGGAGACCTATCCTAAAATAGGATCAAGTGTTGC